TAGCATACCCGCCACCGTGGCAGTGGCAGACTATAGACTGCGATGTGTCTTTCCTAGAGGTTACAAAACATGCACCTATTGCCCATATCCGAACATACTTTCTGGAACTTCAACACAAATACACACGTCCTGAGTTCTTCACAGATGCCTCCAAGACTAACTCCTCTGTGTCCTACGCTGCTGTCGGCCCATCCTTTTCGGATGCTGGCCCTCTACATCCACTCACAAGTATCTTCACAGCGGAAGCTTACGCGATACTGGTGGCAGCTAAACACATCAAACAATTACAAATACAAAAAGCAGTAATTTATACAGACTCCCTCAGTGTGGTAACGGCTCTGCACAGTCTTAAAAAACAAAAAAACCCAGTCCTTGTCTCACTTTACTCCATTTTGTGCACACTCTACACGCACAAACAACATGTTGTAGTGTGCTGGGTGCCAGGGCACCGTGAGATCCAAGGCAACGTGAGGGCGGATCAGCTCGCTGCATCCGTCCATGACAGCACCGCCATTACATCCATATCAATCCCGGCTCTTGATCTTAAGTCGTCTCTCAAACTAAACCTCAGGGACTACTGGCAGAGCAAGTGGGATACACACACGCAAAACAAACTACACGTTATCAAGCCACACCTTGGCCATTGGCCACCAGTATCAAAATCACGTCTAACAGAGGTAACACTAACAAGACTCAGGATAGGGCACACATACACGACACACACACATCTTTTATCCGGTGGTGATCCACCATTGTGTGATAAATGTGGTGAGGCTTTAACAGTTCTTCACGTTTTAATCCAATGTAAACAGTTAGACACTCTAAGAAGACAACACTTCCCATTACCCTACCGACAACATATACCTTTACACCCTGCAATGTTTGTCGCTGGGAACCACTTTTTACCCATAAATTATTGTTAGCTTTTTTAAGAGATGTTAATTTTTACCATGTAATATACCCAGGCATTGCGTAGCGTGACCTCTCAAGAGAGGTCGCTGCTGCTGTGATTACATTTAAAAGCACTTGCCTCGCAGCCCTTGGACACAAGGGCACTGATGAGGCAAGTGTGCTAGTGCCAAATATTTTTACATGTTTTTATTATCAAAACCTTTGTCACCCTTTTTAATATGCATATCACGCCACTGTCATGTCTTTAATTCTTATGTTTTTACCCGCATTATCGCGAGGAATTTTAAGGCCCCTATACAGCCACGCAACATATCATTGTCCACATCTTTATACTCATTGAAATGGCGCTCTTTGGCCATTAATTGGCCCTTGCGCCATAAAACACCACACATCATCATCATCATTGATTTGCGAACGCGTGAGGCATGAAACCAAGATAGGACTGCAGCGCTGCCAGTTCTTGCGTCGGCCGTCCTGTCCACTTCAGAGAGCAAGGGTGTACTGCAAAATTGGCCTGGCTCAAGAAATGCTGGAGGGGTGGGGGGTGACTGGTCATGCAGGAAGAGAAAAATCACAGCATATTCACGGATTGCGTGAGGATGAATGGGGCGAAGCATCCGTCCGTGCGTCCGCGCTTCCGTCCGTCCGTGCGTCCATTTGCGAAACCGTCTATGCGTCCGTCCGTGCGCCAGTTTATCTGTGCGTCCATCTGTCCACCCGCGCGTTCGTTCAAGCATCCACCCATCCACGCGTCCGTCCGCCCGCCTGTTCATTCATTCGTCTACTACTACTACTACTACTACTACTACTACTACTACTACTACTACTACTACTACTACTACTACTACTACTACACACGTCGCGGACGCACGACTCATTGCATAAGGAGCTTCGCCCCTAAAAAGCAAGGAGGGTGCATTAAGTCACACAAGGGAAGCCCACCGTGTCGCCCCAAAACATGGCCAAAATCTCAGAGTGTGCGGTATGTATTTGTAGTATCGGTGGTGATTCCTTTTCGAAACACCTGCATGAGCCGGCAGGTCTGCGCCGAACGAGCACTCTTCGATTAAAAGCTACCGGGCGCCACACTCTCACGTCTCGGCAAGTTCAGTATACTTGCGTGATCTAACCGGGAGAGCTCACGTTTTCGGCCGATGCTGCAGGTTTCAGAACGACTTTGCTTGCCACAGCTGGCTGCCTGACATCATGCTCTCTCCTTTTTATTTCCTCCTTCGGAGTACTGACTGATAGGGCAGGGAGCTTTGACGGCAAAGGTGGAGTGCAGGCCTAAGAAGATTCACTACTAATAAAACGATGAAAAGATCTTGAGCCGGTTCACGGTGATGACAGTGCTCTGTCTATGACACAAGGCAAATTTTGACTATAACAGCCCTGCTGTAAGAAGTCCATGAGACCGACACATCTACTTTTTCAGCTGATGTAACCAGCATTGGTTGACGAAGCCTGCGACAGCCTTATTGCAATCGAATAAAATTCTAAACTGCCAAAAGAAAACACTAAAAAACAAATGAGGAGTGGTATAGAGCAAGAAATGGTCAGCTTACTATGAAGCGTGCCACTAAACAGAGCGGCCTGGGGTGGCAATTTCGACTCGTGAGCAAAACAATTTAATTAGCAATGACTATGGCCCGTATTCAGAAACCAACCTCGGTCTTACCTCACGTTTTCCTCAACTTCCTGTACTTTCTACATGCGTTGTAAAGGCACAAAAATGGTAACTGGGTGTAAGATAAAGACAAGAATAGTTTATGAATACTGGTCCAATTTGTTTATCATGTGCAATAAATGTTTAAAACCGATAAGGAAAACTCGAGGCAAGGTTGATGTTGGTTTGTGAATGCGGGCGTATGTACCCGTAGAGCTTATGTAAGAGCAGCACCCACATGCCAAGGCAAGCACGTTGTTTGGGGCTAGGCGGGGCTCAAGGTACGAGGTTATGCGAATTGATGCACACTTTTTTGTACTGATAACGTTGTTTGTTTACACAATAGTAACTGGTTTTGCTCCACGGCGGTGCGTCGTATTTTGTCCAGTATACCACTCGAAAAAACAATCATAAGAAATAACAAATGCTTGCAAATGCCTTCACAGAACACCACGGAGATCATGATTTTTAAATTACTCATACATCGTGCGTCATTCAATACATCTAGATTTTTGTGCAGCGCAGCCCTTTGGCATGAGCACTCTGTGTGTTGTTGAGTTTCCTGCGCTCCATAAAGATGAGTCATAACAGTAGTGTCGTGTTCCGCGCAGGTTATCAAAGACAACTGCAGGGAAAGTAGGCTGATTCAGAGGTGTGTCGTGGAGAGTTGCGCAACAATGTTCCGCCATTGCGCCTTACGCGCAGGTGCTCGTGCAACACACAGCGGCGGCTTAAAGCACGTCTGTCAGCATGATGCATGTTAGCTCGTGCTGGTGGCTTATGATTATGGGAAAAATATTGCCGCCGCAGTGAACATGAACAAATCTCGCAATTGGCTCATTACCATTAGCACAGATAATTTGCTGCTTGTAAAAATTCTGCTGCCTTTCCACCTATCTGAAAGCCGTTTTTTTCAACTATGCTGGCTTTCTGAAAAATAAACGAGCGACCACTGCAAGGCGTTTATTCCAAAACATTTCGGAGATATGAATTTCACCATGTTCACGTTTTCTCCATCTGTAGCCGCTTTTTGCACTGCTGACAACATTCCGTTTTATACGCTTCTAATTGGCAATCAGTTTGGACGCACCCTATGGTATACTGTCTTCAAAATTGAAATATACGATCGTATTGTCGCGAAGGCAATGTCCCGCAGAAAGCTTTTTTTTTCTTTTTCAACTACGGCTGGAGTTCTTTCTTTGTCAGATGTTCTTGTTACAGGCGCTATTTTACGACTTTTCTTGAAGAGGGAGCCTCGAGGAAGAATGAGAGTCGAAGAGAGAAAGCTGCATCCAGTCGGTAACTGTGGTCCCGCGCCCAAAACGAGCGAGCCACCGCTTGGGCCCTCCGGGGCGACCAGGGACCAAAATTCGAGCCCTTGTTTGTGCGTCAGGGCTGTTTTAGAGAATGTGCCCGTTGTCCGAAACCGCTCCACTTTTGTTGCTTAGCAAGATTCACCCGACCATGTAAACTCGTGTTGGGATTGGTTAGTCTCGGCTTGCCTGATTGGTTCGTATAAGCCATTTTCCAATTGGTGCAAAACAGTGGTCTTCCGCGCGGTCCGCACACCCGTGGGTGCTAGAAAACCCCATTTAAGCACTGACTCAGGCTCTTTTTGGGGTGGCCCCGCCGTGGTGGTCTAGTGGCTAAGGTACTCGGCTGCTGCCCCGCAGTTCGCGGGATATAAACCCGGCTGCGGCGGCTGCATTTCCGATGGAGGCGGAAATGCTGTAGGCCCATGTGCTCAGATTTGGGTGCCCGTTAAAGAACCCCAGGTGGTCGAAATTTCCAGAGCCCTCCACTACGGCATCTCTCATAATCATATGGTGGTTTTGGGATGTTAAACCTTACATATCAATCGAATCTTTTTGGGGTGAGTTGGAGTAGGAGTGAAGAGCGCATCTCACCACCGGAGACCAGTTATGCAAGCCGAGGGGTATGCCATCATTTTCTATGTTTTGTATTTGTGACTCAGTGCATTGTGTAAATTCATTTTGCAGTAGATAAATGAACCCCCAATGTGTGCTCCCTTAAATCATGGTGTGGACTTGTCATCACTTGTCTGTGTGGAACTGCTCTCACTCTTCTCTGTCTCAATGGCCTTCAGATGCATTTAGCTTAAACTATGCCGACGTTTCGCTACAGCATGTATTTAGAAACTGCTAAATTCATAGTAAAAATACTAATATTAGTATTACTAAATGTTGTGCAATTGAAAATATTAGCATTGCTTTAAAGAAGGAAGAAATAAATTGTTGCCGGATGCCAATGATTTGAGCTTACGCTTTATAAATTTGTTCAGTACAACGCACAAGACTGTCTGAGGCGCCGCTTCGGTTGTGCTCGAAAACTTAAGTAATCCTCAAATCAAGACATCGCTTTTCAGAGCTAGAGGATCAGTCCGTATAAACTTTTTTTTCAGAGCACATGGACCATGCACTGTGCCAGTGGGCAACATGACACCACTCATGGCAGCTGCTATCGCAGGCGACCTTGAGATCACCAAAATGCTCCTGGATAGAGGCCATACCATTCAAAAACCGCACGAACCTGGATGTGAGTTGAAATGTGCAGAATGAACTGAAATGGCTTGATAGGAAATACATATGCAAGGGGTGTTGGATGTGTCTAAGATTACGAGAGTACAAGTTATCTCCGGTATCACCATTGAGGGGCGGGGGATCGAAGCTGGGGTGCGTTGCCGCTTTTTTTTTTGCTTTCATTTTCTTCTCTGTTGTCATGAGCTCGGCCTTCGGTTTTGGATCCAGTGCAGTGCGAGTCGATGCGTGGGTGTCAGAGTTATTTTAAGAATAATACACTACATGAGTAACACCTCTCCTTATATCTTGCTAAAATGCGCGTAAGATATTGAAATTTAAAGTAGCGCAACGTTAAGGGTTTCACTCCTAAAAGTAGCCAAAAAGAAATTTAAAATCAGCTAAAGTGAAGTGGCCGTCATTTAATGACTGGCCACAGTGGTAGTTTCCAAGTGATTAGTCTCCAGCGAGCTTCACGTATACCGCAGTGCGTCTCGCAAGGTCATTGCTACAACAGCCGTTGGAGAAGCGCGGGTGTTCTTTTACTACTCATAACAAGCATGTATGCGAAGTAGTTAAAGCAGCGCCTAAAGGCTCACCTGTGCTGAGTGATGCAGCATAGAATAAATATTTTTGCTCCTTAGGTTTTGAAGCTTGAGAGGCTGGAGGCGTCAGCCCAGGGGCCAATTTAATGCTGCTATCAGGCGGACATGGTCAGTCTTCGCTGGTCGTCGAGGGCTGTGCTAGAAAGAGCAGCATACCACTGGGAGAGGGGTAGATTCGGCATTTTAGGTTGACTGGTAGCTTTAGGGCTTGCCCACATGAATGGGTAAACTTTGGTGGACCTATACAAAGGCGACGTCGGTCACGATACTTCCCTGAGTAAAAATTGTAGCAGAGTGCCAGGTTTGGGAATGTGTCGGTCTGGAGCTGGCCCCAAGCAGCCACATCTGTTTGGTATATTAGTGTGAGTGGTGTAATAGCCATTGTTTGTAGGCACTGTTAAAGGAACTGTAGTAGGTAGTACACTATGGCTTTACAGAGAAGCCTTCGTGATAGTTCATTATACCTACATAAAATGTAGGCCACTGACAAAGCAATCGGGCTGAATAGAGCGCCATTATTTGTATGTTTACGCTGCTGGTAGACGACGCACCACATACTGTCACTGCTGAAGCGTTCGCACTGTCGTTTGTGGCTTCCTCAAAGCGGTCATATGTAAACACTACGAATAATATGAATATCATCACTATCAGCGTGTAAAAGGTATTCCATCTACCTATTTATTGAGGTATCTCTGGAGTTGTGCTACCTTACGTGCATGTTCGCATAATCGCACCAATAAAACCACGTATGCGCCGACATTTAAAAAACAAAAGTCACACAGCGTCAGTGCTAAAGCGCAAGGAAAGAAATAGACAAAACGTGATGATAGCTTCAGCATTGCATAATAGGAACTGAAAACTGGCAAGTGGTTGAATACCCTACAAAATGCAAGAAAGTTAACACTGCGATAAAAAGAAGAGTCGAAGAAGTCCTACTATTCTTTGTAGGTGTTCTTAATACAATTAAAATGTCACTAGAAAGGCGCGTGGTAAAGAGACTGATATATCGTAGATTATCAGGTGCACGCGCCGAAGAACATACCGATAACACGTGCCTCCACCCCTCGCCACGGCGCATGCTCCGGCCTCGGGCCAGGGTATTAAAACCAAGACAGCAGCCTCGTGAATAAACATTGTTGTTCCTTCTTGTTCTGGCCATGCATCGTCTTATTCTTCGCCCTTACGATACTACAGTGGCGACGAAGGTGGGATCCGGTTAATTGCACTCCGACGCTGAGACCAGAAGAATGGGATCCCGACCCCCTGCCTTCGACGACGCCGTGAGTAGCTGGAGCACGTATCGTGTCCGGTTGGAAGCCTACTTTGATGGCAACGATATTACCGACGTAGCGAAACGCCGGGCCCTACTGGTTTCATCGTTGAGCGACAGTGTCGTCCGGATATTGCAAGGGCACCAGCCGGGGGTCGCCATCAACTCCTTGACGTACGACGACGTTGTGAAATGCTTGGAAGAACATTTCAACCCTCAGGCAAACGAAATAGCAGCAAGCTATTCTTTCTTTATGCGAAAACAAGATGAGCAAGAAAGCGTCCGGGACTACATTGCTGAACTGAGAAGACTGGCCGTAAATTGTAATTTCGGGGCGACACTGGACCGTATGTTGCGGGACCGAATCGTTTGTGGGATTCGGGATGAGGAAACGCGCCGGTGCCTGCTGGGCCGCAAGAACTTGACTCGTGAAGAAGCCGAAGAATTCACCTTAGCTTCTGAGAAAGCGAACGAAGACGCTCGGGGCATGCGTACTTCATACGCCCGGACCGAAGGTGGCGGCGTCAACGTGATACAGCAACAAGGCAGACAGGGGAAGAAGAATTGCAGCCTTTCATGCGACAGATGCAAAGGGGCGCATGCAACGGCGTCCTGTCGACATCGCAGATCCATATGCCATCAATGTGGTAAAAGAGGGCATCTTGCTAGGGCTTGCAAAGACCCCACACCCCCAGGTCAGGAACGTTCGCTGTCGACGGAACCGAATGTGAAAGCGAAGAAGAGAGGTTGTCTGCTCTCGTTGCACACAGTTCCGCCAATAAGCACTTGGTGCAGCCAATCGAGCGCACCTTAACGTGGGAAGGCCGTAGGCTGCGAATGATTGTCGATACTGGATCACCAGTAAGAGTGATTCCCAAAAGCTTGTACAAGAAGCATCGCAAGCGGTGGCCGGCTCTGCAAAAAACTCCACTACGCCTTTCATGTTTCCTGGGACCGTTGCCGGTCGTTGGCAAGGTAGACATGCAGGTACAGCTTGGACCAGTAACGGTGAGCAGTTCGCTGATAGTAGTGGACCATCGAGGGCCCCTTTTGTGCGGAAGGGACACGATAGAGGAATTTCGCAAAGCAGGCATGTTGCTAGTAGAAGGCACGTCGTCTTCGGTGAATGTTGTTCACGCCGACAGCCAGCTAACCGCACTTCTTGACGAGTTTCCGGACCTCTTTGAGAACCTCGGATGCTGTAAGGGACCACCGGTGAAGCTGTACCTCAAGGAAAGTGCGCAACCTCGATTTCTGAAGGCTCGGACAGTCCCGTATGCCATGAGAGCGCAAGTCTCCGCCGAAATTGACTGACTGGTGGAAGTGGGCGTGCTGTCCCCAGTGAGCGTGGCTGAATGGGCAACACCGGTCGTGCCCGTAGTAAAGAAGAACGGAGACATCCGGCTGTGTGGGGACTTTAAGCTAACAGTTAATCCAGCGACAAGAACAGAGCAGTACCCGCTTCCGAAAATTGACATCTTTGCGGCGCTATCAGGAGGCGAAGTGTTCAGCACACTCGACTTACGAAACGCATACAACCAGCTTCCCCTGGATAATGATGCTAAGAAGATAACTGTGTTGAATACACACAAAGGCCTCTTCTGCTACAACCGCTTGGCTTTTGGAATTGCCTCAGCGCCTGCGCTGTTTCAGCGGCGCATAGAAGCCGTGCTGCAGGGTATACCAGGGGTGAAAGTTTACCTGGACGACATTATTGTAGCAGAAAAAGAGTATGACACAACGATACTGCGGCAAGTGTTCGAACGACTTCGGGCGAACGGCCTAACACTGAACAAGGAGAAGTGCCACTTCCGGGAGAAAGAAGTGGTATTTCTAGGGCACCGAATCGATGCAAAAGGCCTCCACCCACTGCAGGACAATTTGGAAGCAGTGCTAGCGGCACCGCCACCGACTTCGGTAAGCCAGCTTAAATCATTCTTAGGACTGGTCACATACTATTCCAAATTTCTACCGAACTTGTCGTCCACTTTGGCCCCGTTACACCGACTCTTGTCTAAAGGAGCACTGTGGTGTTGGGGGCCCGCACAGAGAACAGCATTCCAAGAAACCAAGCGGGCCATGAGAAGGGCGAACTTTCTTGTGCATTACGACCCCCAAAGACCCTTGCGGCTTGAGTGTGATGCGTCGGCCGAGGGTATAGGCGCAGTTTTGTCGCACCCCATACAAGGAGTGGATCATCCCATAACGTTCCACTCGAGAACTCTAACGTCGGCGGAACGTAATTATTCACAATTGGAAATGGAGGCACTAGCGCTGGTCTTCGGCGTTGTAAAATTTCGAGATTATTTGTTTGGCAACAAGTTCACTCTGGTGACCGATCACAAGCCTCTGACTGGTTTGCTAGGTCCAGATAAACCTGTTCCGCAAATGGCAGCGGCCCGCATTCAACGTTGGGCGCTGCTCTTAGCAGCTTATCAATACGACTTGGAATACAGAAAAGGAGAGCTAAATGCAAATGCCGACGCTCTAAGCCAGTTGCCATTACCGGTTCGCGATAATGGCTGGGAAAATGAACTAGCCGAATATGTCCTGCATGCGCAGGCTATGGATGATTTTGTTTTGTCTGCGCAGAGTATTTCAGACCACACCAGCAAAGATGACGTACTTTAGCAAGTGAAGACTTGGATCTTGCAAGGCTGGCCAAGGCGTCTCGGTTCAGAGGAACAGCAGTACAACCGTATTTTGCACGGAGGCATGAATTGGCCGTGAGTAACGGGATACTCTACTGGGGCCACCGTGTGGTTCTACCTAAAGCTGCCCGGCAATTTGTTTTGAAAGAGTTGCACGATACGCACCCAGGCATGACGGCAACGAAGAACCTCGCGCGCTCAATTTTCTGGTACCCCGGCCTAGACGGTCAAATTGAAATGCTTGCAAAACGGTGTCCCCAATGCGTGCAGTGTTTGCCCATGCCCCCAGCGCAGGTCCCGGCAAACTGGCCAAAGAACAACAGACGGTGGTACCGCCTACACGTGGATTTTGCTGGTCCCGTGGAAGGGCATATGATCTTCGTCCTCGTCGACGCCGAGACTAAGTGGATCGAAGCAGTGCCCTTGAAGACGGCGACAGCAGCGACTACGGTAGACACACTTAGGTGCATTTTCGCGCGATTTGGCATACCACGGACTGTCGTGTCGGATAATGGTCCGCAATTCACCAGTGCAGAGACAGCGCGGTTCTTCCGGGAAAATGGGGTGCGCCACGTAACGACGGCCCAATACTACCCGCAATCCAACGGTTTGGCGGAACGGGCAGTACGCACCATCAAGGAGGGCCTGAAGAAAAATCGGGTGGGAACGCTGCAAAGTCGGCTTGCCAAATTTTTGTTGCGTTACAGGACAACACCGACCCGAGAGGAGCAGTCGCCCGCGGAAAGGCTTTTTGGATTCCAACCACGGACCCGCCTGAGCACCTACCTGGCAGAGGAAGACGGGGCGAAGAGGGAGGCTACCGTAAACGGAGTTCCGAACTCTGGAAAGAAAGAGTTTGCACCAGGAAGGGAGGTGTGGAGTCGACAGTACAGTCAGCTAGGTCAAAGGTGGCTACCCTGAACCGTGACAACAGTCGAAGGCAAGCGATTGTTAACCGTTAACACGCCAAGGGGGGTGCAACGTAGACACGTCGATCAAGTACGACCACGCGACTCGTCGACACCGGTTAAGAAAGAACCGTGCGAAACGCCAATGGCCATGGAGCAATTGCCACTCTCATCCAGCGGCATCCAGTCAACTAGCAGCGAAGCCCTTCAGGCCGGTCTGTCCGAGCCTGGTGAGGAAGCGTCTGGTGGTGGCATCGAGCCAGCAAGTCCAAGGTCCACGGCAGAACCACTCCCACTCCGACGCTCCACCCGTGCCCGCAAGCCGCCGGATAGGTTCTAGCTCAGAGGGGAGGAAGTGATATATCGTAGATTATCAGGTGCACGCGCCGAAGAACATACCGATAACACGTGCCTCCACCCCTCGCCACGGCGCATGCTCCGGCCTCGGGCCAGGGTATTAAAACCAAGACAGCAGCCTCGTGAATAAACATTGTTGTTCCTTCTTGTTCTGGCCATGCATCGTCTTATTCTTCGCCCTTACGATACTACAGAGACTACCACTTTTATTGCAGTGAAATATTCTAACGAAATGAATACAACACATAATTAGGCCAGGGATATCATACGGACAACGGGACATGAGGAAATTTTTTTACAATGACAACGGGGATAAGAACTACACGACCCTCGTAGCGGGTGTTGACTGTCGTGTCCTTGTCCCCGTTATCCCTTTGAAAAGTGTGGTACTTCACCATACAGCATAATGATCAGTCAAACACTTGCCCACATATCGACCCTATTGTCTACTTTTCGTTCGGAGAAAAGATTCCTTGTTCAGAGAAATGTTGACAAGAAAGGAAGGCAGGTGAACATTATGGCATGGTCCTTGAAAAAGAAAAAAACCTCTGAAGCCTGTGTCCTGCATGTTCCTCCACAATCTTGTGTTCATGATCTTTACATGGTGACAGAGAAATCATTTCATCCTTTGCAGGTCGTTGTGCCGAGTCCTGTCGCGAGCAGGCGGCCCGCCATGGTGAGCGGTTGTCTCAATCGCAGTTGAGGCGCAACGCCTTCCGTGCTCTGAGCAGCCCCGTGCACATCCTGCTCACGTCTGACGACCCCGTGCTCACAGCGTTCACGCTCAGCCGAGAGCTTCGCGAACTGGCACAGAGCGTGCCCGAGTTCCAGGTATGTGGTTCAAGAAGATGTGCTGAATGCGTTTTTGAAGACTATGTGTATACGTTGCAGACTGAACTTGAGCTTTTCTAGTTGGCATTAGTTTGCTATTGCGTTATGAGAGAGTTCGGTGCCAACCATATAAACGACCTACAGTGACCTGTCGAGCTTTAGAGATGTAGTGGCAACATAAAACCTATTATATATGTAAAATAAAAAGAACTAAAAAACAGAGTTGTGAAGGTCGTGGTTTACACTTGGAAACAGAAGCAGACGACACAGAGTGGAAAGAAATAAAAAGGAAAAGGCAAAGCAGGAAAAATGAGGAAATGCTGAGAGGGAAAAGAGAAAAATGAAGACACTGCCACTAGCGGACGGGTTTGTCCTTCAGTTCTTCCATTATCTGGGCAGGCTTACGTAATCTTGCATTTAACAAAAATGCGCATGGCTAATTTAGTATGCAGATGCGACGATGTTATTTGCGGGCAACGGCCTGCTCTACACCTTCCAATATAAACTGAGAAAGACTAGTCCGTATCACAGCTCATTTACTTTAAAGGTTACTGTTCAGATAAAACTGGCTGTCGTGATTGCGGAAGCCTGTCCGAAATGTTCGGGACTATCTGCTTGGTACATGTACATGGCATGGTCACAGCAATGACCTTATCATCGTGTCTTCAGTTTTGATATGCCGCAAGTGAAAGTGTTGGATCTTAGTAAGTAGAGCCAATACAGTGGAGCAGAATGGTATATCTGAATTGGACGTGTGCGGGGTGTCACTTCAGGCATCTAGCTCGTGCATGTTTGGCACGTCGCGTTCACCCCATCTCTTTCTTTTATGCTTAGGCCAAAAGCTTTTTTGTGTATTTCGCTGTTGTTTAGAAAACACCAAAGATACATCGTATTCCTCCCGGAGGCTGCTTACTGCATGCTCTCTTTCTTTTAATGCTGGTTTTTTAATGTCAATATATGTGAATATGTAGGACTAATTATTACTATTCTTGTGCTATTTTCAGACAATCCTCATAAAATAAAAACATGAACTTTTCTACTACGCACAAAATCATATATTCTAGCTTATGAAAGCGAAAGAAAGTTAAATATTTTCTGATAAATTATAGGCGTCCACGACGGCTTCGACACAACCAGAATAACAGCAATGACGGCTAGGTAATCATTTATTTCAACATGTCATAAACAGGAGAGTATTGCAGCCTACAGACTCTCTTTACAGTGTATTGCACTTATGTTTGAAATAGCTGGACCAACGCATGTTTTACACAAGCATATAGAAGAGATCGCGGTGAGCGTATCAGCATGGTCTATCAAAGAAATTTCTTGTTACCATTCTTGCGTGCTTACACGCTCGTTATTTCGGGAACAACGAATGGTGCATTAGAGAACTCCGCGAAGCCATTTATTACGATTGATTGATTAATTGATGTGTGGGGTTGAACGTCTCAAAACCACCATATGATTACGAGAGACGCTGTAGTGGAGGGCTCCGGAAATTTCGACCACCTGGGGTTCTTTACTGTGCACAGAAATCTGAGCGCACGGGCCTACAGCATTTTCGCCTCTATCGGAAATGCAGCCACCACAGCCGGAATTCGATCCCGTGACCTGCAGGTCAGCAGCCGAATACAATGGCAATTAGACCGTCGCAGCTGGGAAATTTATTACGATGATGTAGCGCCACGATTACGTATGAAAGGAGGACAACGAAAATGTGCGCTAACTTTCAACTTCACCGGTTGAAAGCTGACGTAGTCGTTTAGAAAGCCGTTTCCAGGAAGCACTTTGACAGGAGTCGCAGGACACTAATCCTGATGATTCATTAAAACCATCTGCATGCTTCAAGTGAGCTTTTATATTGAACAACCATATGGAATGTACTTGCGACGTATGACCAATGCATTGCAACATGGAGTTGGACGCAATGTTCATGGCATGTGGGACATCAAACCACCAGGCCATTAGACTGCTTTCGTGATATACGCCAGTGCGTGCTTCTTTAATTTATGCTGTAAGCTGAACTGTGCGACTAAACATCTTTTTTTGACATCGCACAAGCTAATACAACCAAAAAAAATAAACGCAATTCACATTAATGTTATGGTGAAAGAGATATGCGTTCCACGGAGTTACTAGCGAAAGAGTACAGAATCGCTTTATCGTTTGATCGTCGTCAAGTCGAGCCTCGCGAAAATGAAAATGCAAATATTGTGACTCGACTTAACGCAAATACTACCTGGCCCATGAGACGCATGCATTGTTCGTGGTATATGTTCCTTATAGAGTCGAACAGGCGCGTTTACTTTGAAGCAGCTTTTAAGTTTTGCGTTAACTCGTCTTGAATTACTATGGCAATTGATATTCATATAACCTCGACAATAAGTTGCCATATAGCTTCTAGAATCTCTCAAGAAGAATCGGAATTACTGGTACTTGTTCATTATAGACAAAAGTAGAATGCTCAGTTGCAATGAGCTCGCCGCCTACATGAACAACGAATGTCAGGCTAACCTCTGTAGGTGAATGCGTAAAGGGAAACGTAGAATGTTGCTGTACGTTTCATGGCGGTCCGTAAATTGCAGGCCTTGAAGACATTGTCATGATTAGGCCCCATCACATGTCATCATATTCTGTACTTCAGAGGGATTGACTGAAAGAAAAGAAACGGAAGGCCGAATCACCAAGAGGTTATCACAGGCTTATATAAAAAGCGGCTTAAGTTTTCTATTTTTTCTTTTGTCCTGCTTCTGAATATATTAAATGTAACCACTTGTTCGTTGCTGTTCATTAGTTTTGAACTGACCGAGCGATGCGTGTTGAAGTGAAAGCGCCGCGAAAAAAAATCGTAACTGATTAGCAGGCAGCAAGCCAGGGATTAGCAGGCAGCAAGCCAGGCAGCTCGCCTACGCCGTTCTCACGCGAGCTTGCCGTCGAGCGCTTGTTTTTGACAACACTATTAAGCTCTGCACTCGTATGTAATGCGTTTGCATACGCTATTACTTTCTCGATGTCATCGCAAAGGTGGAAGCAAAGCGAGCCAGCGCATAAACGCTGGTAACCGTGTTTACCTGCCAAATGACTTGCATTGCTGCTCACAATCTCCGGTCTCGCTATTCAAAACGGGCGTTGTCGTGCAGAAATGGCACACTCCAAACATCAATTTATTCTATCCGGAATAATATAGGACTTAAATCGGGAGTGCCTCAAGGATCTGTACTGGGGCTGACTTCTGTTTCTAATTTACATTAATCATATAGCTACTTCTATGACTTCCGCGGTAAGGTTATTCGCCGACGAGTGCGTGATATATAGAAAGGTGGTTAGCATTGGAGATGCTTATAAGTTGCAGAACGATCTTAACATATTAGGTAAGTGGTGCCAAGACTGCCAGATGGAAGTCAAAGTGAGCAAAACAAAGGTCCTTTCATTCACTACAAAACAGACACCAATAACTAATCACTACACATTGAATGAGAAACAAGTTGAAAATGTTCTCAATTTTAAGTATTTGGGAGTTCACTTAACGAGTGACCTATCATGGAACTTACACATTGAGACTGTCACTAGCAACGCTTATAAGACACTGGAATTTATCAGACGTAACTTACATTTCGCCAATTCTGACACTAAACTTTTAGCTTACAATACACTAGTCCGCTCTAAGCTTGACTATGCTTCCCAAATATAGAACCCTCACCAGGTTTACCTCATGAATAAAATAGAATCTTTTCAAAACAAAAGTGCCCTGTTCATAACAAAGATATACTCTCGAACTTCTAGCATAAATGAAATTAAAAAGTCTCTAAACTTGCCGCCTCTACAGTCACGCAGACTATTCTCTCTTCTGTCTCCTTTTCACAATCTCTACCATAATCATTCGCAACTGTCTGCACTTGTTAAACCTGCTCATAGAATATTTGCTCGTCTTGACCACAGATTCAAATTAGAACCTTTATTTGCCCGAACAAACCTGTTTTTACATTCACCATTACTACTTGCTGTTAATCATTGGAATCAACTTCCCAACGATATTGTCTGTATAAAAAACCATGAAGAATTCACTCACAAATTAAAGCTTGATCTTGGTGTTAGTATGACCTAATACAACCGACCCAGATGTACATGTGCTTACATAACGGTTTTTTAGCACACTGTATAACTTGCTTATTTGACTATGATCAGCAATTGTTTGGCATATAAATGCTCAACCTCGCTTGTTCTTTTGTTACGCTTTCCTTTTTAGTCTAGTTTTGTCTTCATAATTGATTTTCTGCAATTTTGTACATTATTTATAAGTTGTTATTTACTTTTTCATACATTCTATTACTTTGTTGTTCGTGTTAGTTTCTATATATGTATACTATTACCCCCCCCCCACCTATGTAATGCCCTCGGGCCTTTAAGGTACACGAATAAATAAATGAATAAACAAATATAACGTCACCAGGGAGATGTACTCGATCTTTGTCATGCCGCTGCAGTCAGCAATGTCAGCCACGCTAGCACCGCTCCGTCGACTCGTTTGAATTGGCCTGGATCATGGGTGATGGGAGTGGCTACTGGAAGATGGCGGCACTAGCAGCGTGACGTCACTCGTCTGCTCGCGTTCTGATTGGCTGCTCAAATGCGGTGGTCTATCTCGCGCTTAAAAATCGCACGTCTGATTGATTGATTTGTGGGGTTTAACGTCCCAAAACCACCATATGATTATGAGAGACGCCGCAGTGGAGGGCTCCGGAAATTTCGACCACCTGGGTTCTTTAACGTGCACCCAGATCTGAGCACACGGGCCCACAACATTTCCGCTTCCATCGGAAATGCAGCTGCCGCAGCCGGGAATCGAACCCGCGACCTGCGTGTCAACAGCCGAGTTCCTTAGTCACTATACTACCGCGGCGGGGCTCGCACGTCTGACAGACGTGCGATTTTCTCTGCGATTCGGCGTGTGGTGCGACGATGTGACTGCCGGAGTGGTGACGTTTCGTGACGTTTCGTGA